ACTGTAACTTGTAATAAAATAAATGTATATGAAGTTTGCTGATTCATGTAGTTTCCGAAAAATTACATATGCTTGAAAAATAGTTTGAATTACTATACGTTTACTCTCAAACAAACTTGTATATGTAAAAAACAAAAACAAAAAAAGATAGATTCGACATATCTGATCAATTAAGGATTCAGTCTCTGTTTCACTATTCAGTTAGTATTATTTATTTTTCAAGTGAAGTTGATCTGCTGAGTATCAAACTTTAAGAATTTACTAGAGAGAGCGCTAATGTTTGCAAATGAAAAACATTGTTGAATGCATCTCAAACGTTAGTTTTGAAAAGAGAAAGTAAGTATAAAGATCAAGGCTGGGTTATATATATATATATATATGTTTTTCTTAAATGCAAAGCTACACAATGGGTTATCTGCGCTGTGCCCACAACAGGTATCGAACCCCGAATTTTAAGTATTATAAGCTCGTACCTTTCTTACAATTTGGGAATAAGCTGTATCAACACTAGACCCTTGAATCCACAGATCGGCACACTAACCTCTGAGACTTGAAAAAACAACAACAAAAACCTAGAAAACTCAAAACTTTCTGCGACAGTAACGTCATTACTGAAAAACTATTGATCTTACAGGGCAATCCAACTTTTAGGCAAACCACACATTATTCCAGCATGACAACTAATTGGTCTATCTTAAACAAACACTTTCTGATACATTTTTATCTTGAACTTCAACAATACTTTTGTAAGTGTAAACCTGCTTCAATTTTCGAATAACAGCTTAGACAGTGACCGTGCTTTGGTTTCAGAGAAATGTTTAAGTTTGTTTGTTTCAAGCACAAAGCTACACAATCCGTGCTGTGCCCACTTCAGGTATCGAAACCCGATTTGTAACTTGGTAATCCCTCAGAGTTACCACTCAGCCATCGTTAGACTATACATTTGAAATAATTTTCTTTAAATTCATCAGCATGTTAAAATAAATAGTAATAGGTGTTGTTCCATAACATCGGGTGTAAATTTTATTTTATGTTAAATTATATTTGGAATGCACTAGAATGAGCACTCGCAGATAAGATCAAAAACTACATCAATTAGTTACCCACGTGGTGAGGGAAATATGAATTTATGATAGAAACTAAGGATGATAATAAGTAGGCTTATAACCGTGAGAATTTTGTGATCATAGCCTGGCGCCTTCTCCCAATTTTTTTTTATTACAATTTTATATATTTTCCTAGTTTACTTGTACACTATAGTCGCATTTAGAGCTTCTTCCTTGAATGTCTTAAAGTTTCTGTTAATTTGTATTCCTTTCTGGCACATATCCACAATTTTTTATTCAACCTATAGTAGACCTTTTAATCTGGTCCTCTAGATTGGTGCGTTTTGCTTGTTTTGGCGCCCTCTCTGAGACACGCTATGCACTACTTTGTAAAACATTTATCATGTTGTGATATATAACTCCAGTGATAGTTTTAAACATTCACTTGCAGCTATGAGCCAGCTTGTATCTCATTTCTAAAAAAACAAAAACCTTTGTTAAATATACAAGTAACACAATAACTGAATTTCCCTATATATAAGTTACTTTGATAAAATTAAACGCATTCAGGATTTCTTTGCTCATCGAACCCAAATTAACATGAAAACATCCTTACACAACAAAACAGTAACATTTCATAATCTTTTATTTTGATGTCCAACTAAGACGTGTCTCGAAATGAAATATTATATTGTTTCTGTTAATATCCACAAAGTTATGGAGCTTTGAATGCCATAGCTATTTTTGTCATTATTCATGATTGAACAAAACATTCTTCTACTTCGTTCTCACAGCGTTAATGTTTGTTTATATTCATACTGGATTTTGAAAAATTTAAAGGATCACAGAGTTACGTAAGGTTGATTCTTAATCCAAAACCCGGATTTTGGCGTCGTAAATCCTCAAACTTACCTTTGACCCACTGGGGGACAATATTGCATTCACACTATTATTTAACATTTGTTACTGTCTACTCTGTGTCCTTCAAGTAGTAAATTGCAGTGCCTTACACTACTTGGCGAAATTAGGCCTACTGCATTAAATGTTTGGCTAGTTTACACGACTTTGAAATCGTAACTTTAAGATTTTTATACATCTATAAACGGTGCTATTTTGCACATATCTGATTTGAATTGAAATGGTTAATCATGACGGATGTGACAAAAATTGCTGTGTAATGTGAGTTTTTTTTATCACCGAGAAAAATATTAAGTTTTAAGATCTTAATATGGTGTGGAAGATGTAACCTTAAGATGAAAGTAAAATAAATGGTGTATCCGAAACATCTTTACTTCATCCCAGCATTAGCATTCTCATCGCTACAACAACTTAAACAGTGTTAATCATATTTCATATGAATGATTTGTACATGTTACTATAGTGACATGCAACCTCAGATATAAGCCATGTGTCACGAGTGACACGTTAGCACGATGTATTTGGTTTTTACAAATTCTCATCCATTGAAGAGCACAATGCCACTATGGGTAGACTTACGACTGTAGATATAGAAAATGCTTTTTTTGAAGAGAAATATACTGCAACACACACACAAAATTCCTTTGAAAATAATAATACAGCAAGAATTTTAGAAGACCTACATCCTAAGAACACATTTTTGCAGAAAATAATGTCTTTAGAAGCAGAAAAACTCACACAGCAATGTTTAGGATAAGGATGGGCTCTAAAACTACATCCAATTGAATCTGGAGCAACAACATAATCTGCAAAGTAACAGCTGTGGTTATAAAGGAGGACCTTCCAACCAAAAAACTATTGCAATGTCACTAAGCAAACCTACTGGAATACTAAACAAATATTTGAACTTGATGAAGGCTCTCAGATCACAATTTCACAAGTTCCCATGCCACATTTCAAAATAAGTGTCTGTTTCCATGAGAAAGATGATTGAAAAAACCGATATCACAGCATTTGCAATCGACTACTAGGAGCAATGTGACCATTATATAGTTTATTTGTTGTCTAACACAAAGCGACACAATGGAATATCTGTGCTCTGATCACCATTTGTATCAATATTAAAGTTTTAGCATTATAAACACTTCAGACTTACTGCTGAGCCACCAGTGGTTGACTGCTACATAAAATGCACATTTGTTTATAGTTCAATGCTGAAAAAACAATAAAATGAAATAAACTGATGATAACTAAATTTTCTTCTGGTAAAGTTCAAGATCACTAAAGCATAAAACCCAGGTGTTTCTGGGGCATTCAACCCTCATTTAACCCATTCTTTGGATACATTTTAAAAATACTAGTGGCAATCCCATCCATGAAACCTCTCAAGTCTCCTGATGCAGCTTCTGTGGACATTTTGCTTTTTGTTTGTCAAAAGCAGTCTTGGGAGCTTATATCCACATACAGTAGAAGATCTGTAGAAAATTCATAATGTTTGGTAGAAGACTGATCCCACCATTCTCCACAGAAGATGGAAATGGTTACAATCATTAACTGATGGAATATAATTGATAAAAGGAACATCATTTTTATAAACTGTGATTAACCACAATAAACATGTTTTATTTGGGGGAAGACCTTCAACCATCAGTATCACAGGTACTTACCAATAGTAAGATTGTTCACATTAATAAAAGATTGTTAAAAAAAAGTTGTAACTGCTGGAAGAATGATCATTGAGAGTCAAGTTCCAATTCTACACTCCAGGACACTTTGTTGCAACAATCACATTGTGTGTAAATCAGTCAGATTTCTGAAGAAGACCATGAACAACACAAAGTTCTTGGGTGAATTCAGTTCCACATACTTTTAGTGTGGGAAAAGTATAAGTTGTATCACATTTGACAACCTACTAGCATGAAGCTTAGAAGTAAAACTCATCTACTGACTTCTTGTGAATTTCGAAACAGGTGTATGTCACAAGATAAAGCTGCATAGGGAAGAAAAACAAATTTAAAAAAATTTAAAAGAATCTTACCAATGTAGTCAAGTATAGCAGTCACAGTAACATGTAAACAGAGATAACCACAATTATTCTACCATTCAGAGCATACAGTGAGTTCCTCAGTCACAGTCAGTGAGGGTGCCATTGTGAGAAAAGTAGAAATGCTTCTCCACAATCTTTACAATGAGCATACATAGAATTTATGTTGCAAGAAGCATAACTTTGAGAACTATCCAAAGTGACCAAACTCTCAAGTCCTTAACAAATTTCCATTTAGCCAGAGAGAGAAAAGAAGAAGAAAAAAAAAAAGAGATGAAATGTTATGAAAAATTGAGCAATGTGCTATGTATAGAAGCTTTTAGGTCAGTAACATCAATAGATCTGCCACATCCAAAGCAAGATTATCAAGATATAAATATCTTGGGGGCTGCATGCCTCAATTTTGTATAAAAATGAGTTCAAATTAGCACAGTTATAAGAGACAGAAGATATGATTAAAAAGATCTGTCAAAAGTGGTTACTAGTAAAGAAATTTATCTATATATTATAAAATCTGAGGTCAAATGAGGCCTCAGAGACAGTCCAATCATGAAGCTTAAGACTTTCAGTGTACAGACCCAACAAATAATAGAATGAAACCAACATTCTGTTGAGCTGAACAATGCTCCTTAAATAATCGAAAACTCAACCTACAGGGATTTTAAGAGAAAGAAATATGACAATACTGAAACATCCAGCAACATGTACAATTCAAGAAAGCAAGAGAATAACTGTAATGAATGGGTTTTGTATTAAAATACAGTTTCACTTTCCTTAAAGAGACTGTTACTCTAATATAAATAAAAATGTTTTACTTTCAACCAATGATGGAGAAAAGTCAAACCAATATATGCATAGTGAAATCAGTCCAATGTTGAAATTTTGTATCAAATGTAATTTTTCTCTAAAAAATTACTTAGAACTAACACAATTCACAAATGATTATTCTGTCAAGATATTTTGAAAACAAATAAGCTGACCTGACCACTACATTAAAAGTAACAACAGTATATTTTATTTATTTTTATTTTTCACACATCTTCATTTTGGTTCTGAGACATCCAGGCAATTCAAAACCACCAAATTTCAAAACAGACAGAATGATACGAATTACATATTCCAGTTAAAACTATCTAAGCTTAAGTTATAACTTGATTTTCCTCTTTTTCTTTTTCTCATGGTCTATCTCCAGTTTCCTTTGTAGTTCTTTCCTTCTCTGTAATTCAACATCCTAAACACAAAGAAAATAACAAAATGAGGTGTAAAATATGTTCTGGATACATACATAAGAACATGGTATAATGAATTAAAAGGTTGTGAATACACAAAAAAAAAAGAGAATGATGAATTGTGAGAGCATGTCATCACAAATATATACAGAATAGCTGTTGTTTACTTAGTACAACTCTACAAATTGGGCTATCTGCACTCTGTCCACAGTGGGGAATTGAACCATGGATTTTAATGTTGTAAGTCTGTAAACTGACCAACCAAGGAACTATGTGCAAAATTAAATTACAAAAAATACAATAATATTCTACACAGGAAGAAAATAATATGACAAAAAAGTCTAAAAATATGATGACATCAAACAGAAGATGATAAATGAAAATATCTTGGATACATGAGAAAGGACGAAACAAGTTGTTTAAAAACATTGTGATATCATACAGAATGTGATAAACTGTGAAAGAGTTTTGTGAGATCAAATCAAACACTGTTTGTTTTTGGATTTCATGCAAGGCTACACAAGTGCCATCTGTGCTTGCCATCCTTGATTCAGAGGAAAGGCAGCTAGTCAACACCACCCACTGCAAACTCTTGAGACTGAATAGTTGGAATTGACTGTCGCTTTTACGATGCGTCTACGTCCCTAAATTATGGAGCTTCATTTTGGGGAAGGGAGGGCACCAATGGGACATGAACCACATAACCTCAGCTCCACTATCGAGCAAGCCATCCATTGGGCCATTATAAATAAAATTATCTGAAAACTGAGAAGTTCACAACTCCAAAAAAATTGACATACACTTGAGAATCTATTACATACTAAGTCTCCATGAGAGTAAAGAAAGTAAAGTACTGCCTACTAATCATCTACAGATACAATACTGTAGCTCACTATGAACTTAGTGAACTAAAAAATAAAATGTTAAAACTGGTTTTTTTTCTTGGTTCATCACATTGCTCTACAATGTACTGAAGAAAGACAACAAAATGACAGAAAAACTATTTTCAGAAGAAATTTTAGAGTATAAATGGCTTTGTTAAGAAAAGAAGTTTAGAGTGATTCTTTGAGAAAGGGTGGGGGACCTTCTTACAAATGATGGCTATTATTTCAAGATTTTCAGTTAATAAGAATGTGAAGGTATAAGAAAAAAAAGGTAAGAATAGTACACCCCAGGTGAATATGATAAAGCTTGGCTACCTGTCCATCTATAGGTAACTTATGTTTATAAAGCATCAAGTATCTTACATAAAGTGAAAAAGAGCTTAGGGCATATGAACAAAAATATGACAACAATAAGAAGCATCTTAAAGTTAAATATACACAGGAAAAAACAGGTTTGTATGAAAATGGTTGGTTATCATACATTCTAACATAAATATTCATATTGACACAATGCAGGGTTGTAGACAATTTGTTTCATTAACAAGGTTATATATAGACATGACACACACACACAATCTGAACATAGGGGGACTTTAACATCAAGATCAGTCAAAAGCTCTCAACTAGCAGAATATGCAGCTGATAACTTACATAATATCAAGTGTTCTGTTGGAAAACCTACAGACAGAAGCACCTTTAGACAAAGTAAAAAAATAAATTAAACTATTCATATAGTCTTATAAAAAGAATAATTACCCAAGTTAAATTCCACCTTCCAAAATGTTGGCTCCTAGTACATTGTAAACATATACAGAAAAAAAAAAGTAGTTCACAATAAATGCAGGAAAGCATTTAGAAATATCCTCAACATTCATGGACAAACATGAAACATCATCTAGAAGTATCTCTGATAAATAGAGAAAAGTATGGCAAAACATATACAGTATCACCAACATATAGAGAAGAACACGGAAAATAATCTCAGAATATCCTCGATTTACACATAAAAACATTACAAGATATCTAAACGTATTTCTGACATAAAGAGAAAGAAAATTACCAAAACATCTGTAAGCATATCCAACACATACAATAACTATTACAAAATTTCTATAAGTATATCAGTTGTACAAGTATCCTGAATACACACAAAAGTATTCTTAATATCCCCAAGAAAGTATTACAAAAGAAAATATAGGATTATTCTTAACCTATCCAAAAAATATACAAAATTTTGAAAAATGTTGGAAAAACAGAACAATGTGAAAATATATAGAATGACAATTTTTAAATCATTTAGGAGACACTACTACTTATGGAAATATATAAGTATAATGAAAAACATGAGAAAAACACATGGAATTGTAATGGGCATCACAGAAAAATGTAAGAAAATGTATATGAATACTTCCCACTTATAAATACCAAAAATAATTCATTAGAATTTAAGCTAAGAACTATGAACATGTAGGTAACATGAAACAACAAGTTAAATTATATTATTTATATTAAAATCCTCTTTTAGTGACACACCAAACAAAATTAAGTTAAAACATTTCCATTAAAAACAAGCTGCCAAACGTTTTGATGCAGGCTAGTGCCTCCCTTAGTGACTACTGTGTTTTGTGAATCACTGTAGGTGATTAAATATGATTACGATAGTAACAAATGGTATACTGGTGGTACAATTGTACTGATACATATATTAGATTGATTTTTGTATCCTAGGATGTCCCATAACTCATGGAAAATTTGTTGAAATTTATTTAGTTTGGCTATAACTATGTATACTATTTTATGTATGTTGAATGTGATTTTGTGTAAGAATTTGCTTTGCTAAACCTGATGTGTCAATCAGGCAAAATTTACTATCATTCTTGTTCTTTAATATGTGTATTTAATGATTTACTATCATTTTAGCATTCTTCAATACGTGTATTTAATGATTTACTATTATTCTTGTTCTTCAATACGTGTATTTAATGATTTACTATTATTCTTGTTCTTCAATACGTGTATTTAATGATTTACTATTATTCTTGTTCTTCAATACGTGTATTTAATGATTTACTATCACTTTAGTGTTCTTTAATACGTGTATTTAATGATTTACTATCACTTTTGTGTTCTTTAATATGTGTATTTAATGATTTACTATCATTTTTGTGTTCTTTAATATATGTATTTAATGATTTACTATCATTTTTGTGTTCTTTAATATATGTATTTAATGATTTACTATCATTTTTGTGTTCTTTAATATATATATTTAATGATTTACTATCATTTTTGTGTTCTTTAATAAGTGTATTTAACAAATTTCATCTGTTTTTGGATTGGATGGTGTCTTCTGGATGGACTAAGATATGGCTTAAAGTTGTGCAAGGTCAATAAAAAGTTCTAATATTAATTTTATTTAAGGGTCTTTTACTTGTTCATACAATCCTTTGATACAACAAGTTGTAATAGGTTTTAAGATCCAATATCTTTTTGTGTTTTATACAATAAAATGGTTGGGATAACCATTATGTGAATAAAACCAGAGCAACACAAAACACTCATGTACAATTATTTTGTATGTGTATCAAAAATGAAATGTAAGCAGAGGTATCTATCAGAAATAAATTTTCAGTGTTGGAAAATGTTAATTTCTATTACGATACCTTACTTCCTCTCACATATTACCTAGAATCCCACACTGAAATAGTGGAAAGACCTATCCAAAAGTTACCTAGATGAGGCCCCTTCGGAAAGAGCCTGAAGAGAACCCATGTAGGATGACACCTGTGAGAGACCACACCCCTTCTCTGCCAGGATATACTTTTTGCTCATAGAGAAAATATGCCACCACGTCAGGCAGAAAAGAAACGTCCAGAAACACAGTGTGGACAGTGAACACGCTTGATGGTGTAGAGTGGCTGGGTGTGTCAGACCATATGTTGTGGATCAACTCGAGTCCAAAACCAGGTGGCATCAGAAAATTTTCATCCTTTCCACAGTAGGAAAAGGATCCCAACCATCTTCACCTCCATATCAGGAATTTGAAGGGAAAAGGAACTTCAATTCTGCTGTCCTAGGTATTGCTCATGCATGCTGACCCAGTACACATCCAACACCAGGCCACCTGACATCTGAGAAATGATAGGATAGGGAAAGCACATGTAGTGGATCAAGTCCAATCCAAAACCAGGCAGCATTGGGAAATTTTCATCCAGTCTGCAGTAGGGGAGGGTCCTGATCAGCCACATGAGTGAGGACTTGTGTTGGATGGTACAGAACCAAACCACCCAGGAACCAACACCTAGGCACTGGTAGGATGGGGAAAGCCACTGGAGGAGTGAATTGTATTTGGTGGATCATCTACAGTCCAAAACCAGGAGGCATGGGAATTTTTCATCCATAGTGTGGTAGGAGTAGGGTTCACACCATCTACACCAAAACATCACTGCCATACTCCCTACTGCGTGGAATTGGTCATGCTCAGGAGGAAGCCTCCATGGTCCACCACCCCAGTGGCTAGGAACTGGTGAGTGGCAAGGACTCCACTAGAAGGAGGGGGGGGGAGGTAAAGTGCAATGGGGAATCTGGAGGAATGTACCACCTTAAGACTGTGCATTGGGTGACAATGAAAAAATATTTTTAAAAGCCGACCAATCCAGGTTTGGTCAACCAGGACTGGAGGAATGGACAGCAATCAAGACACTGTTTTACTCGTGCTAGTCCATGAGTTGGTAGGATCTGAATCAGGCTTTGTTTTGTAAAGAATTACTGTGAGGAAACCTGTGAGCAGTCTTGTGGAACACCCCATCTTATCAGTGTGTGTGTTTCAGGCCTGAATGGCCACATGGTGCAGATTTAATTTAAGTATACCCTGACATGCCACTCAGAAAGATCCTGAGTGGTATAATAGAGCCTCTGTAAAAGTAAGATAGATAGAAAAAGAACTTACCCAGTCAGATGAACAATGGACAGGAGATAGGGGTGAATGTGCTTTTTTGCTCATATGTCACAGATGTTTTGTGGAGAAAGGCAAGGTCTGGATAAAGGATAAGACAAGCAATAAGAACTCTTAACAAATGAGCCCAGAAAAGGAGGTTCAGTGTGTGAAAATAGAGAGAACGAGACCAGGTGTCCCCTTGATATAAGAAACAGCAATAGTTGTCAGTATGGATCATAATGAAACACCCACGGACTGTTAAAATAAAATGATCCAAAGATTGATGTACCACCAACCTATAAACATCTATAAACAAATGAAGGTTTGGACGAGAAGGAGAAACACCAGATGAGGTATTTGTTTTGTTAAACCATCAGGTGGAATCCACTTTCAGGAAAGGAGGAATGTGATGATGGAGGACAAGGGATATCAAGCAAGGTTCCACTGATTGTGCAGAGTCCACTGAGGATGACATATACAAGGCCAACTCAAATGGATAAGGGGTTCCATGGAAGGCCAAGTCCCCAAAAGAGAGAGAACCTCCAATGCATTGAGAGAAGGAGAGGATATGGCATTGGAAATCAATCACTCCATGTCCCTCCAACAGAGGAGAAGGCTGGGGCATACTGATGTTAGAATTGAAAAACACTCATATGATTGAAATACTGAGTGGGTGAGAGATGAGACTTCTCCAGTTTGACCAGCCAACCCACATGTGGTGACTCCTGAAAGAGGAGAAGGTTATGGTCATAGAAGGATTGTTGGAATGAAGTCAAAAGAAGCCAGTCATCCATGTAATGGTTAAACCTCAGTCCCAAGCCATGAATGTGATGAGCAAAAGCTCAGACCACTCAACAGAGCAAAGTTGAGCAAACCAGGTCAACTATGCCCCTACAGTACCCGAACCTACACTGAATTTGACACTGCAGATGGTGACAGTGAGAGTATGAATGTATTGGAGCAGAAACATGGGAAAGCGGGAGAGGATAAAAAACTGGAGGACAAGAAAAAGTAACAGCAGCAGAAGAGGATTGCAAAAGACTGAAAATTAGAGAAGGTATGGAGGAGTGTTGGCACACAGCCTCCACAAGAGACTTCTATTAATTGGGATCATCTCCAAAAACAGACTGGCAAAGGAGATGAGCCAGCCTAAGGTCACTTAGGTAGGAAGCAGGCAAATGTACATGAGATAGCAGGGCATCCCTGCCTAATAGGGCCCAACCAGAAATCAAACACATATGGAGAGATAAAGCTGAAGAAGATAAACCCATCAAAAATCCCTCAGGGGAATGAGGGATAGCCTTGGAAAGCAGTTGGATAGAAAATAGATAACATAGTAGAGTTGTAAAGGTGAGATGAAGATGTGAGAATTGGATTGGGAAAAGCAAAGTGAAGAGAAAGGATCTGGTTCCCATGCCAGAATAAGAGACACCAAATTCTCTGAGTCAAGAAACGGGAGCTCAGCTTGATGATAGGCCAAGGCATGTGTGTCCATCAAATGAGGAGGATGAAGCATGCTGGTGAGAGAGAAAAATAAAATAATCAAAAGCTGGTCCAGAATGGAGTAAGAAAAGGGAAGAATTATAAGACTCAAGAGAAAGTGGCAAAAGGCAACAAATCTGAGACACCATATCTAAGAAGGATGAGGTAGATCAATAGCAGTGGATTCAAGTGCAGCAAAGCAGGTGGAGGAAACAGGCTGTCAAAATAATTGTCCTCTTGAATGGGATCCCCAGGGAGGGGAATATCTGTCCCCAGGTTAGAAGACAGACCAGGCTACATGAATGACTCCAGCTACTGACACACTATGGCAAACACCTCCTCTACAGACAGAGAGGAGTCCAATGCTACAGTAGTATTCTACATAGCAGGATCAAGAACTAGTGGATCTTCAGCAGATGAAGTAACATGAATTTGCAAGTTCATAATGTGGAAAGGAAAAAAAATCAAAAACCTTCCACAAAATAAGTACAGACTACAGAAAAATAGTTGTCAAAAAGTGATGATTTAATCATCAGTATAAAGGGAATTAGTTGTGCTATGAGGGTTGCGTCACACCCCTATTGGTAGAGGGTTGTTTCATGCTCATTTGCATGCTAAAGCACAGCAATACCACATGGAAACATGTGACTTTAGGTGAGAGCCTCAAGACTAGTGGTGAGTGAAAAATTGAATATATACAGAGGGCAGCACAAAACAGAGGAAAGCTAATATGCGAGTGGAGATATGGTATCATATCAAAATCTAACTTGTTTATATCAGCCACACAGTGATGGGTTATATATGCTATGCTCACTAGGTGTTTTTTAGAAACTAAACAAGTAATGATAACAAATTATAATAATAAAAAGTTAGATAATTTAACAGAAAGACTCCTCAAACTAATAAGATATCTAGACTGTATCAAAAAAGACAAGGCAAAGAAAAAAAAACCTACCCAAACTATTTGAAACATACTTTAAAAACATATGAAGATGTAATTTCAAATATCTTCTACATCCTTTAAATTACAAGGTAACCTTAATTAACAATATTATTTTGTTTTCATAATTCTAATTACAGCAGGTAAAATAACATACTTTCTGACTGCAAGATGAATGGCTATGAAGAGTTGTAATTTCCTTTGGAGTTTCATTCTTCGTTATTTTGTCTCTACATTGTTCAGTCTCAGCTGTAAATTTAATATGTATTGATTGTTTTGAAATCAAAAAGATAAGATCATTTGTATCAACTAAGAAATTTAATAGTTGTTTAACTGTTTTAATCCAAAACTTCTGTACTATTTCTAAATAAAAAGAGTAGTCTATTTTCACCAACAACATGAGTCAAACTTAGTAAACTGCAGCTAATGCTACTATTTGCAATACATTTAATTACACTCACAAGAAAATACATGCTTTCACTGACCATAAAAATTCTGATGAACCTGCAACTGATACCAGTTCCCACAATATCAGTATAATAATATATGGTTTTGATCATATTGAGACTATTATAAATCTAAAGTAAATATAATTAATACTAACTTTAAATCATCTAATGCTACAAGCCACACTGTCTTTAAAAGTTAATAAATTATTACAGCATATGTTGCCATTTCCATTGCTTTTTAAAAAGTCTTGTCCAGAATTTCATAAGCATGAATCTTGAATGTTTTATTAAATACAAAAATCATGAGATTTTTTTCACTTATAAAATTTATTGGTATTAAACAATTTGCATTGTTATATTTACCAAATGGTCTCTTATAAGTTCCCAATCAGTCAGTTTTGTAGGAACCATTTCTAACCTAATGAACACTGTGTAAACCGAGTTGTCATTTGAAATATTATTCATTTTATAAATATAAACTACTTCATTAAGTTAGAAAATAATCTTACAGAAACTGGAATAAGAAAATTACAGAATTATTTATTAAAAAAACAAAAACTATGAATAGTATAACAGTAAAGTTATTATAAGTAAACATAAAGTTAATAGTTAATATCAAAGTTAATTGAAATAAAATAATAAACATAACCTGCATGAAAAGTAAAATAAAGATAAATAATGTTGTGTTATTAATCCTTATCCTTAAATATTTATGTAAATAATGTACATAAAATTTATAATAGTTACAATTTACTTACTTAATCTTGTTCATGCAATGACAATTTTTGTTTATGAAATTGATGACATAAATTTTATCTGGACCACTACTGTGTCTGTTCTAAACATGCAGAAAGAAGCTTTAGTGACAAGTATTTTGTTTGTAATTAAGCACAAAGCTACACAATGGGCTATCTGTGCTCTGCCCACCATGGGTATCGAAACCCGGATTCTAGTGTTGCAAGTCCACAGACATACCGCTGTGCCACTGGGTGGCCTTTAGCGACAAATGATAGTTCTAGTGTATGTAATAACATGCTTGGCTAATGTAATGTAGCCATATATATTCAAAATTATCTCAAGAGAAAGTGACAAGAACAGCTTATGCATAAAAGAGCTAAAAGAGATTGCTAATAGCCTTATGGCTGAACCTATGATAATAAACAATTAGTATTGCTTAAATTGCACTTTATTCTATTTATCAATTCTTATATATTTTTCCCAATTATCATCTATTAATCAGCATTGTGGCAAATTACTTATTAATTGCCAATTAAGCAGCAGACTTATTAATTGCTATTAGAAGTACAATTTCAAGTTAAGGAGGAGTGCTTCAGTGAATGTGTAAAATCTGTACATTATTCAGGAATGGAAAATGAAAACATACCACAAGGGACAGAAAAGAAAGATTAACTGTCATTAGTTTATTTCTTTGATTCTATTCAATTAAGTCATGCTTTACAATCCTGTACTGGAATGAAGAGGTGGTCACTGTTAAAGAAACTAGTCTAGGCTGCACAAGTCGATTCTCTACTACACATACTGAAATAATGACAGATTTAAAATAAATTCCTTTAGTCAGCTTGAGACTGGAGACTATCTATCAGGAAAAAACATTGAAACAAGGCACTTACAAACATCCACCTTCACAATTAGGGTGAGTAGATGTAACATTTATCTAAGCTATTCTTTACACCCTATTGGTTTTGAAATAAACATTACAAAATTACCTTTAAATCTTGTTTTACCCATTTACCAGTTCAAAAAGAACCCTAAAGTTTCATAGTTCGTGTTTCTAAGAGTGATTCTCTATCTTTGTTGAAACTACAATTGCTTTCTTGGGGGTTCAAAAACCAGAGCTCTCCACTTCAACATTTATTCATTTATCATTATTATTGCTGTGGGCTGGCTATGCAAACTCAAATGATCAATATCTATTCACACATATTAAAGAATATCTGAAGTGTGGCATTGCAAGGCTATTTCACACTTATTAATATTAACTTTTGTACAGCCTTGTAAAAAATGTTTTATCAGACTTCTAAACTTACTGTTTTTATAGAAGTGATAGAACTTATTGATTGCCTTGTTAGCATGATGTGTGTGTTTTCAATGCATTAATTAAACCCAATGACACTGAAATACTGAGAATTAATAATCATTAAAATATCTGTGTCAGCTTCAAATAAATCTATAAAATCTTTTCTGGTGGATTAGCATTTTTCATGATTCAAGCTACACATTGACAACACAGGAACTGTAAATCACAGTTTTGTATGACAAAAATATATAAACCGTCTCCACAAAAATTTTGAAGTCAATAATTATCATGATCTGTATACTATTTCAACCTTAAAGATTGAGGTACTGCAAAAAAATAATCAGCTAAGCATAGCATTTGTAATACCATTAAATTCAATTGACTGACAGGATCAATGTTGTATGATTGATGCAGAAAAAAATAAAGAATTTAAAATAATATTACAATTGTTACACAATATAACTAATAAAAAAATGTTACTTTCTTTCCTCTCAAAGGGTCTGAATTCCCAATTAAACAAAAAATATTGTCAATATTGGAGCACATATTCACATGTAGACAAGAGAGTAACTAACAGAGTAAGGACTGAACAAAACCTAAAACTGGTTTCTATAACAAGGAACATTAAATGATCAGAAAGTAGAGAATTACAAGTATATTGATGAACTTTTACCTTCATGCTTCTAAGTGGTTTGAAATAACTTGATTAAAAAAAAGTTATGAATTATTATGTTAAGTTCACAATTTTCAACACTAAAAGTTTCACCAAAGTTAACATTTTCCTTACCTAAAATTGTATTACAGATAGATACTGACCTCTCTGCACCACTATGAGCTATTCCTTGCACTTAACTGTTGTAGAATTTCCTGAGTATGAACAAGCATTAAGTAAACTCCCATCCCTACATGTCTCTGTGTGTATTATTTGTCATAATGTTGTAGCCCTCCACCAATAGGAGGGTGACACAACGTCGATGTGCAGTAATCTCCATGAGCACTAGCACATGATCATAGCCTCATTCTTGGCAACGCAAGCAAAATGTACAAGAAATGAGAAGGAACAGTGGGAGGTACTGCAGAGAGGTAATTATCTAACTCAAATACATTTTCAGGTAAGGAAAATGATAACTTTAGAAATATTAATTATCTCTCTCTGCACCACTAAGAGATGATGGAGGGACCAGTGCTGAACAATTACTTCACCATGGTCTATTCCAGGCTTAAAGGTCGAGGTACTGTTAAAAAAAACAATTAGCTAAGCATAGCATTTGTAATACCATTAAATAAGACTGATAGCAAACAGTAACTGACAAAGGCATGTCAGTGTTGTTGTTGTTGGGGGGTGATATAGTGCAATGGGTTACTAAGACTAAAGACAGAAAGCATGAGCCAATTGTAAGGGTGAACTGGAGAAGTAGTAGGCAGACAAGAAGCAGCCACCTGATGCACAACAGCAAGTAACATCATAGTGGAATGGCACCCAATGGAAGAATGCATCCTTCTCAAGCAGAGAATACTCTTTGCCCAACAGTTTTCTGTTTTTTGTACTGAGACAGTAGAACAAATGATATCAAGAAAATCCATTAGATAAATACTATAATGACAGGTGGAGGGAGGGCATTGTACTGGAATGTCCTGTACACTTCCAGGTAATATTCAAGCCCTACGTCTAAAATGAAGTATGGGCTCAACCAGACATTTATTGGGGGGGGGGTCTCCCATGCTGCACTAGAAGAACTGGGGGGGTAGCGAAGAACACTAAAGAGATTATGTGGATTTCTGGTAAGTATTCCTTGAAAAGCAATACAACCACTTGGAGGAATCTGTTGACACCGATTGTAATTAATGTAGTGTTTTGTTCTACATGTTATGTGGGCATTTGGGTTTTTTGTTTGTTTGCTTTGCCTCCTTGTTTTTTCTCTATTTTTTGACAATGTGTATAAAATGAACTATAAACACCAAGTGGTGTCACGAAATGTTTTAGGGATGTAGTAGATCAGTGATGGAGCTAGAAATGAAATATCTACAGGCTAAATGCAATGCACTAGAGCATCTGGGCAAACTGGAGAATGGCAATCATAGCAAAGCAAAAAAACCAGAAGCACATAAAAATACTTAATATTGTAAGTAATGGGAGATGAAATGCAATATGCCGACTTGATTTTGGGGTGACATTAAAAGCAGCTGATCAGATTTATCCAAGAAAAAATATAAAATAAGATGGATAAGGGAACAAACCCAACTGGTTAAATTGAAGGGAATAAGCTGTCACTCAGTAGAAGGGGCACCAGCAAACAGAAGTGATAAGTTGAGGAACAAGAGAGGGGTGAGCCCCATGGGACTTCTGACCTAGTAGCCAACTGAGATAGATGTGTTTTAGTAATCTGGGAATCTGGTGAATTGAAGGAAGATCGTTTGTGAGCAGCCCCAGCTCAGTATGCCAAGGAATCAAGAACATCCCCAAAGATTGGTGCAGTGAGAAAAGGGGCAAGACTTAGGTCAAGAAGAGAAGAAGAAGGGAGATGGACCCCAAAAGGAAAGTATCCAGACTGAGAAGATTTCACAAACAGAGAAGCCAAATCAAATCAGAGACAGAAGAGGAATACATAGAAGCCAATGGGAAAAACAAATAAAACAGCCCTATCAAAACCAAAGGTATTGAGGTCATGATAAAGAGCCACAGTGAGGAGTTAAAGGGTGGAGATATAGCAAAGAAGTGAAGATAAGATGAACAGATTGCAAAAAAGAAAGAGACAAAAAAAAGGAGGAAGAGAACCACACTAAGCAGACAGAAGGGCCACAAGAGATTGGGGTTAAAAAAATATAGAATGATCAAGACATTGAACTATAGCAAAGAAGTCACAAAGATGAGGAGAAAAAGGTAGATATTAGTGGGACATGAATTAAAGTAACCCAAGAGTAATTATGCTACACAGGCAAAAGTGACAGAAAATTACATACTTGAGTTATAAGTGTAGCAAACAGAAAATACCAGTTCCTCATCAGGGAGAGAAGAGTTAGAAGCAAAGGCTGGATGTAGAAGAGCTGGCCAAAATTGGCTACAGGTGAGGCAGGTACCACATACAATGAAACATAACTACAAAGGACTTGAACTAGAGAAGTAGTAGACAGACAGGAACTAGCCACCTGACATCATATTTTAAAAACATGAGCAGTGAATATGTTGTTATACCATGTTATACAGCTCTATAAGATTGTGGTAATTTAATATTTAAGATATTTATAGTACCTTACTACAGATTGAAATCCAAGACCTGTCAGGTGTTTGTTCTATTAAGTGGATTAAAGGGATAAGTACTAATCATCCAGGAACAGATAAGATGCTTCTGATTACCATTGACACATTTGGAAAAAATGCCTGAAGAGATATTTTTGGGCCTCAGAACATTTTATTATTCATTTTTATGTTTGAAATAACACAAAGATGAAATGTGGTGGCTAGAGAAAACAAAGTTGCAATCAGGTGGATGGAACAAATGTGCAATGAGGACAAAAGTAATGTAGCACTAAATAAAGAAAGACAGTCGATCAAAGTAACTAGAAACTCAGAAATCACAGGAAAAAACATGTCTGAACACAGACAGTGCTGAGGAAAGAAGGAGCCTATGATCATGTGCTAGTGCTCACAGGGATTATTGCACACAGAAATTGCATCAACCTCCTACTGGTACAATACACATAGACAGATGTAGGAGTGAGAGTTTGTTCAAGGCTTTGTGGCATGCAGAGGAAATTCCATGACAGTTGCATGCAAGGTAATAGCTATTAGTGGTGCTGAGACATAAGTAACATTTCTGAATAACACGTTTTTTTTACACCAAGTTACATTGTCATTGTTACTAAATAAACACTACAACAAGCAATCTGCATAACAAACTATAAAAACTATGGCAGTTATTAGTAATCAAAACAACTAGCAGCAGAAAATTAAGTTTTAAGTAACCACCAAAAACATACAAATCACATATCACTCACCCAGTCTATTCAAACTGCAAAAACATTTTCTCAAAACCTTTCTAGAGCATATTAATAGCTTAAAAAAAACAATCACGACAAAGATATTGTAAATTCAGAAATTTTAAGCATTTTCAAAAAAAAACACTTAAATTTTAAACTGCCCACCTAAACATAGTATTATGAAAGTCAACCATGGAATAAGTATTATCCTTATCATTTGTCATAATTAGCTATATTTAGGACCCAAGAATCACTGAGAAAACTTCTAAAATATGAAAAACATATATATATATTATTGAAAAATATTAAGTCAAATATTGTAGAGGTACAAAGATATTTTACTGATTGCTTTTTTGTTTATTTATGTACTTACAACAAAAACATTTAGTGTTTGAGAACTCCAAGACAGTATTTGGTCAGTTTGCTCTCCAGTAGATTTAAAAACTAAAATAAGATCAAACATTATGCAGATGTGGTATTTAAGCATACTACATTTTTTCCATCTTATTTTAATACAGTACTCTTCTTAAGTTTATCAGTTATTCTGAGTATGTGCAGTTTTCACAATATGTGGTCAAAAAAGTTAAGTTTGTTTAGTTGCCTTTGTTCCTCTGTCATTATATTGAGATCAAAAATTTTCTACCCATGGAGGTGTGGCTATAATGTGCAAGAATATAAACAGCAGTGTCTTTCAATGGTAGGTCAGGTGGTATCTCAAGATTACAGCATTCTATATGTTTGAATGAGAACAACCAGTCATATGGGTAGCACTAGTTGCTCTGGGTAAATCTGGTGTTACCTGTGAAGTAAGAAACACTGAATTTAGTCAGTCTAGTAGATGATCTCGATATAGTCAGTTTTGGAAAGAGAATAGTTCAGATCCAGTAAAAGTAACCATCCAGTGTATGAGCATGTACATACATTATGTTTGCATGTTTGACTATAATAAAGATTTTAATTTTTGTATTTTGCAGTGTTCAGACTTTTTATTTCACTCTCATGAACTTGTCAGATCTCCTGTTATTCAATGAATCTATTTTATTGCTAGAGGAATAATCAATTTTAGCAGAATATACCACACATAAAAGTGTTTCACTGAACCAATAACATCCAGTAGCTTTAAAAACAAGAAAGTTACACTATATACAGACAAATGTTTCATTCAACCAGCAATATCTAAAAATTTTTTTGTTTAGTATCTTTAAAAACTGAAATAAGGTCGCACTTTTTGCATAAAAATGTTTTATTGAAGCAGAAATATTCCAAAATAAATGCATAAGCAAGTGAATCAGACACCCTATAAAGAAATCTTGTGATACATCTATGTCAGGAAATTATGATAAATGATTACGAGAAAATCAAGTGAAGCCCAGTTTGATTAATCAAGTAGAGACAAAACAGGTTATAAAATTACCTTAATTTTAAATAAAAATGGAGAATTCCAACCTGTTAAACTTTTCAATGTTTGTGCCTCATATGATGCTAAAACAACATATTCATACAACTTCTGAGCATCTTTACTAAAAACATTAGGAACAGCCATCTTGAGGTTTTCAGCAACATCCTAAAATCATAAAATACATAACTATTAAAATTCTTTGTATTCTTCTTAAAAAAAAAGTTAAAACCATACCAAACAACTGCAAATACTCAATGGTATCTACAGTCAATATTTTACACTCTACAGCAGTCATTGCAGTGATAGCTTTCTCCATGTTATATATATATAGTCAGTATGTTACATCCCACAGTAGTCATTGCAGTGATAGCTTTCTCCATGTTATATATATATAGTCAGTATGTTACATCCCACAGTAGTCA